AGTCTGTTATGTAGCTTTGAAACAATTCCAAGCACTTACATAGCTGTTATACAATGTTTTGGAGCATAATCTCCCTTTCCTTCGATCACACCCCATATGGGACAATGTGGAGTGAACTCCCATCTCCAGGAGTGTGACCTACATTATTCAGACTTACACTTGAACTCTCCCTCCTCTTGGGTATATTCCCTCAACCCTGGCATTGCCCTCTTCTACGGACCTCATGTGTCTTCTATGGACCTTATGTGTCCGGCAAGATCTCTGCTGTGGTGGTCAAGCCACATTCTTCTAAGAACGTCTCAGAGAAAGCAACATCTCTGACTCTCATGTAGACTTTACTTTCCGTGGGGGCAATTTCCATTCTAATGGAGCAATTGCTTTTTAGTCATTTTGTGACTCACTATGTGATTACTATATGGTGTCAGGGGAGCGTATTATTCCCTGGGAGATTTGCTCACCTCCTTTTCTCCTTCTTTTTACATTGTGAATGAATGTAAAAAAGATTCTCTTTGGATGACAAGAAACTATGTGATTTGTGAACTCATACTTTGACCTCCTTATTTTCCCTATACACAAGGTCCTTGAAAAGGACACTCCTGAGTTGTGGGAGAGACATGTCCATGTCAGAGGGACACAGGAAGAATTCACAACTGCAAGCTCTTTTTAGCAAATCATTTAACAATATGTGGTCAAGGTCCTAAAGTGTGGTATTAGTTAAAGCAAATAGTAAAACTTTGGGGTGCCTTAAACATTTTCAGGAAGTTGTTTAAGGAACAGAGGACTGTGTTCATCATAGGGATTCAACCTTGAGTTGTTAGAAACTATTAATGCTTAAGTCTTCTGAAGGAGAAACATCATTTGTGCTAAGCCTCTGTGGTTTCTATAGGACAAGTTGTTGCAGAGGGATCTGACTAGAGTGCAGTCAAGGAAAGAATCTTTGTCAATTCCCATACATAAAATGAGAACACATTATCTTCCTCTTTCATAACAATAAATTACTAATTATAACTATCTCTTGTCTTCCTGTCTAACAGGAAACAGACAGATCTTTTGCAAAAGGGAAGGAGATCAAGAGATAGAGGATGGAGTGGGGGAGGGCAAGAAAAAGGGATGTAAAAAGAATGAAGATGTTTATGTACTAGTACCAACTCCCCACAGTGAATGTAATCATTATGTACTGCAAATGTGTGCTAAGAAAAATACAAAATTTTAAAAATTTTAAAGCTTCATTTCTAAAGTGGAAGCCAACCTGTCCTTCACATTGGAATATAATAGGCAAATAAAATTGTCACCTCACCCACTCCATCCCTAAAATAAGAAACATAGGGTTTGCTACCATTCTATTAAATGTAGGTCTTACAAAAGATAACTACCAAATGCTATTAACAGTCATTAAAAATCTCTCATACTACACTAGCCAAAGCCATCCACATGATCAAAGCAACTCCTATCAAAATCCCAATGGTACTTTTTACAAAAACGGGGGGAAATCCTACAATTCAAATAGCCAAAACAATCTTGAGAAAGCAAAAAAAACTGGAGGGCTCCTGACTTCAAAACACATTATAAATATACAACAATCATAACAGAATGATGCTGGAAGAAATATAGACATACAGACCAATGATGCAGAATAGAAAGCCCAGAAAGAAATGTATACATGCAGTGGAATAACCTGTGACAAGACTGCCTGGGCTACCCAATGGAGAAAGATAATCTCTTCCAGTGTTAGCAAAACTGGATATCCACATTCAAAAGAATGGAGTTAGACCTTGACCTTACATATTCAAAACTTACTCAAAATGGATTGAATACCTAAACATAAGGCCTGAAGCTGTAAAACTCTAAGAAAACACTGGATGAAAGCTTTATGACATTGGATTTGTCAAGGATTTCTTGGACAGGACATCAAAAGCACAAACAAAAGAAGCAAAAATAGGAAAATGGGCTGAATTAAATTTAAAAAGGCAAAGAAAACAATAATCAAAGTGAAAAGGCAACCTAGGATACCACAGAAAAGTATGCATATGATGAGGAATTAATATCCAGAATATATAAACAGCTCCTACAACTCAACATCAAGAACTATTAAAAACAACCCAATTAAAACATGGACAAAGGATTTGAGTAGATATTTCTCTAAAAAATGTTTTTCAAGTGACCAACAAACATATGAACAGATATTCAACATCGTTAGCCACAGGGGAAATGCAAATCAAAATCATAATGCGGTGTCACCTCACAGCCATTAGGGTAGTCACTTTTTTAAAAATACAGAAAACATGTTGATGTCATGTGTTGGCGAGGATGTGGAAAATTTGGAACTCTGTGCCCTGTGAATGGAGATGTACAATGGCGCAGCTACTATGGAAAACCATATGGAGTTTCTTCTAGAAATGACAAGCTCACTTCTGGATATATAACCCAAACTTGAAAACGAGATCTTGAATAGATATTTTCACAGCCATGTCCATTGTGACATTATTTGCAACAGCCGAGAGACAGAAGCAACATAAATTCCACTGATAGTTGTGTGGATAAAGAAAATGTGTTATATTCGTGCAGTGGGGTAACATTCGGCCTATTACTGACTGATGTTGGGTGTTTTTGATTCTTGGGTATGATAAAGGAGCCCCCTGCGAATGCTGATGGACACCTTTTCTTAGTGCTCATTTTTATACCTAGGAGTGGAATTGCTGTTATTTTAGAAGGGAATTGAAAAAGGTTATCCAATGTGTTTAAAGTAATTTACACTCCAATAGCAGCTGATGAAAATTCCCATTAATGCACATGTTCATTAATACTTAGTAATGTCAGTATTTTTTGCCGTAAGCTTAGCTGTTTTTGTGAGTTTGCAGTATGTAACATGGAAGCTTAAGTATTTTTGAGAGTATGGTACCTGTACATTGAAGTATTAATTTGTTTCCTGATTAGTATAATGTTAAACATTTTTTCATGTTGTTTAAAAGCTGTAAAATGTCTCTTCACATGTGTTTTCTACTTTCCAGTTGGATTATCTGTTGGTTTCTTGTTGGTTTAACAGAGTTTTCATATGTTCAAGATAAAAGCTCTATGACTATTATATGTGGTGAAAATATTTTTCTACTCTAGGGCTTACATTTTTACTTTCTTAAAAATGTCTTTTGACTAATAATGCTCTGCAATTTAGCATACCAAAAATTACCAGACATTTTTTCCATTGTTAACACTTTTCCAGTCTCATTTAAGAAATCTATCCCTATCTTAAGGTCATGAAGACAAGGTCTTAGATTTCATTTCCAGAAGTTTATGATGTTGGCTTCCACATTTATATCTACAACCAACCTAGATTTAAACTGTGTGTATGGGATAAATTAATGTCAAGCTACGTTTTTCCCCGCATGGAATTCCAATTACCATATCATTATTTGTTAAAAGATTTCAATGTAGGCCAGAGATTTGGCTCAGTGGTTCTGCCTCTTTTCCTGCAAGCGAGCGCAAGGACCCGAGTTTGATCCCCTATACCAAAAAAAAAAAAAAAGATTTCAGTGGATATGTTGTATGTGCTACTGAAATACCACAAAAAAAAAAATGCAACATTAGGGTCTGGTTAACTTAAATTTGTTTGAAGAATGATTATTTCAAAGTAAGCAAAAATTTTTGTTTTAAAATCCTTTTATTTATTTGTATTTTCTATGAAACTTTCAAAAAAAGAAAGTTTAGAAATCACAAAAACTAGTTATATTATTTTTTCCATTCTTCTTAACATCTACCAAAGTATTTAGCCTGAAGCTGTAGCTTTTTCTTTTATTCAAATTTTTGCTACTATCTCAGGAAACTTCCTAGTCCTTCAGCAGGAACAAATTCTAAGGGCCTTTACATCCTCTTCGGTCTTCTATCAGTACAAGATATCAGGAGCACTTTCCCTCAAATCATGACAATAAAAAAATGTCTCCAGATATTTCCAAATATTTTCTGTGGACAATATTACCCCTAGTTGAGAACCACTGATCTAACAAACCTGCTAATGTCTGATATTTAGTTTTTCTGTTTTGTCACAATTGAAAACAGTGATTCTTTTGAACCATAGTATTACATATTCACATACTATGTAACCATATTATGTACACATAGTATATATAGTATATATTCAGCACATCTTCAATTACTTCTGTGACATAAATTTCTAGCAAGGAATAATACATTTAAAATTTTAACATCTATTCCCAAACTGTTAAACAGGAATGTTGTCTCAAACCAGTGGTTTCAAACTTTCTGTGTTCACACAGTGAGGACCTTATTGGTCCTTATTGCCCAGACAGCTCTCCTAAAATCCACTGTGAGTATGTGTGTATTGTCTTTTGGTGCAGGGTGGCTCACACTACCAACCATCTCCCGGGTTTCAATGGTCTGTATTTTCCTGGTGCAAGCACAGACCACCCCTTCCTTCCACAAGCGGCATTTTGGCAAGAGAGAACTGAAGTCCACTAGGAATGGCTGGATCGGATTTGCAGCAATGGCTCTGGTTTCTTTTCCATGTGAATTTGCTTTCAATTTAAATTTGATTTGTCAAATGTCACGCAACATATAAATTTGTCAGAAATTTTCTGATATTCTACATTTGATGGCATTTAAAACTTACACACACACACACACACACACACACACACACACTTTGTTGTTGAAGACTTGGGAGGCTGACAGCGAGTGACCCTGTAGCTCAAAGCCCTGGGGCTTCCGCTGAGGCCCAGCCCTGGCTGATACCAAGACACACCTCCCACCTAGGGCCGCCAGAGTACGCCGGAGGCGGCTCCTTGGCCGGTCGTGCCCAGCCCAGCCGCCCACTTGCACAGGCAGCAGCACCGTGGACCGGGGCGGTCCTCCCAGGTGCTAAGGCGACGGAGTCCCCGCCCAGGACTTGCATGGCACCCTATTGGGCCACCAGATGTCAGGGGCGGGGCCCGGGAGCGCCCACCCCCTGACCACGCTATAAGTGCGGGCCTCTGCACTCAGCTGCGGGCTCGTAGAGATTCGCGCCTGAGCCCGGGTGAGATGGGTGCGTGGGCTGGCGGGCGGCAGAGGAGCTGGGAGAAGTAGAAGGAGGAGCGGGAGGGACGGGCGGCTGGGTGGAAGGTAGTGGGGGCCGCCGATCTTTGGATCACCCACTGAACTAACTCCCGAAGGTGCTGCTTCCAACTTTTACCCTCCTGGGAAGCAGGGAGAGCGAGTGTCTAAAGACTATGAGCTCAAAGTGCTGAGCGGATCTGGGAATGCCCCCCACCTTCCTTAGTCTGTTTTCAGCTTTATTCTCATTTTTATTCACCTCTAGAACATGGACTTCGCATGCCTGTGGCTAACGCTTCTGCTGCCTTTGGTAGCGGCACTGGATTTCAGATACCACCACCAGGAAGGGATGGAAGAGTTTTTGAAGAGTGTTGCCCAAAACTACAGTTCTATCACTCACTTACACAGCATTGGGAAGTCTGTGAAAGGTAGGGTCTGTCTCGGGCACAATTTCCCAAGCTCCTAGTCCTCCCTTTCATTCATTAACACCACCCACCCACCCCTCAAGCTGCTCTGACGGTCTCCAAACATGTAAACCAGTGCCTTGTGAGTTGGTTGTTTCCTGATTTTGTTTGCTGTTTTATTTTGTTTTGTCAAGGGAGTAGGAGGAGAAACTAAATTTTACTTAACTTCTTCATTGTAATTCATGGTCACTAAGTCCTTTGCATTCATTATGGAGCTCTGCCTTTTTAAATCTTACATTGTTTATCTGGGAAGTGTATTTTAGTTCCTTTTCAAGATAAATGTCTCCCATGAAACTTTTTTTTAGCTTCTTTAAATGATTTGCACCATTAGTATAATTTTTTTAGTCACTTTTAAATTAAAATAGCACAGTTTGTTAATGAAATTTCTGTGTCATATATAATTTAGCTTATCCTGGGAAAAAATTGACTGACTAAAGGTTGTTTTTTAAATGCATCCATTTGAAGAAAACATTTGCCAGGTAATACATATGTGAGCAGTGATTGATACTCTGCCTAGTATTTTCACATCTGTCATTTATTTTTAAAATTTAGATTATACACACACACAATCTTATTTTTGGAGACAGCAAAACTAAGTATTTTGTTCAAACTCACACAGTGAATTTAATTCTTTTTTTATTATATTGATACACCACCACCCCCCAAGACAGCGACAGAAGACTTAATGCTTGAGTTAAAAGCTTCATAAAGTTTATATAGTTTGGATCTTAACATTGTGAGGTTTGTCAGACTACCTGGATTTTAGCTCTGCATTTTCGAGTGCGTTGAGTCTTAATTACCACATTCTTAAGTGATCTCTCCTTTTTAAAATAAGATCATGGTTCCTATATTAAGTAGAAAGTATTAGCATGCACTGCAAAATAAAAAAAATCTGGGCTGTGCATCAGAGTACCTTTATTTTTAAGTAATATTGCCAAAGAACTGGTGCCAGAACTACTCTATGTTGCTCTATAATCCAAAATTACAGAAGTTGGATGTGTGAGAAACCATATTTTGGATCAGCATATGTATTCAATCTTTTGAAATCTTTTTCCCCTGTAGCTAGAGTACAGCAATTTAAAAAGATACAAGAGTACTAATTATATTAATAAAGGAAATGTGGGACACAACTAGCCTGAGTTATTATTCAGTCATCATTTAAACCACAAAATGATGAGGATGTTATTAATTTTAAATACTTATTCGGTAAGTTTTTATATTTCCAAACACAAAGTATTTGTGAAAGACAGGTGGAGACTATTCTGATCGATCTCAGATGAAGTCAAACAAAAGGAAGTAATTTGCTAAATATCACTGCGTATCAGCACGATAATTGGTGCTCTTTTTTACAGATAGGCAACTTTCCCTGTCATTCTGCCCTCTGTTATGGGTTAAATTTGCTTAGCAAGTGGGGTTTGCTACAGATATGATTTAGTTATTTATTTTTCTTGACTTGGGCATCCTTACCCAGAAATGAAAGTCATATTCTTATCCTACTTGGCCGGATGCACTTGTTTTTGTAAACACGTATCTATTTTCATTGCTGTAATTATGGACTGTAGTCTTTAATTACACATTTTTTCCATTTCACATGATTTCATCACCTATTTCCGTGAATTGACATTTATATGATGGGGTATATGAATTTTCTTACTTACTCATCTCTTTAGTGCTCTGGTATAGTTTCTGGTTATCTTTGTTGTAAATAGTGGTGATATGAGACTATTGATGCGTGCTATGGTAATTATTTTCTATTTTGTGATTTTTTTCAACTTTTTATTTTGAAAGTTTTGAAATCCACACAAAAGAGGAGCACGCGTACACCTTTGACCTAGATGACTCGGCCATGGTAGAATTGACTATATTTCAGTTGAAACTTTGGAGAAAATCTCACTAACGAGCGACAGAAAAAAAAAAAAAATCTTGGATGAAACAAGAGAATCAACTCAAAAAAAAAAGAAAGGGATAATGTCCGTCAGTTCATGCATTCAATAATTCCCCCACTCAGTTAAGGGAGTAGTACCTATCTTTTTCTTGTCTCAGAAACTTGACAGTTTCTTAAGGGATTGAAAGTTGTACGCCATTCATTCTCTTCCCTCAGATGCTCCCTTTCAAATACAAATGTACTGATTGTGGATTCCTCAGGCCAGACTCTCCACACCCTCCACAATCACTTTAGGACTTCCTCCACCACCCCCTTCTCCTTTTTCCCCTTAACAAATCTTTGCACCAGAGGGGTTCAATTGGTCGCAGCCAGGAAGCTGCTGTGCTATATACAAAAACCAAAGACTGTTTAAACAAGATTTCCTGCCACCTGTTTTAAGAATCTTGTCTTCCCCCTAATAAGTGTAATAATCTTTATTTCCTCTGAACAAGGAAGGTTATAAAGGGAAAGGAGTAGATAATAACAATCTCTGCTATCAAGTGCTTTCCATGTATTAGGTGTTTTGGTGCATTATTTTAATCGCAACAGCTCCAAGGAGGCATTCTCCTACATGCTAATTGAGGAATAGAGAGGTTAATTAACCTGCAGAAGATCACACAGCTAATAAGTATTAGAAGAAAGATGCAAACTCAAGTCTGCCAATTTTCCAAGCACATCCCCTTCCTCTTCAAGAAACAGTTTGCCAAAAATGGAGATGGTTACATCATTCTTAGTTTGTTTCTTGACTTTCCCTGTCAAGCGTGGTCACAGCTAAGACAGCAAAAATCTGAGCTGGGACTCTAGAGCCCCCATGCCCAAATTCAAATTCTAGATCCTCAACTGTGCAGCTGTGTGACCCTGGGTCTTTAGAAAATTATCTGGTACATACCAAGTGCTGCCCAAGAGCTACTGCTTCTATTATTGATACATTTCTAAGAAATAAGTTGTTACTACACCTAAATCAGTTTAAGAATTGAATTCATAAAGCGTATTGTGGGCTGTGGAGTTAGCTCAGTGGTGCCACTACCTGACATGCAAGCACAAGGTCCTGAGTTCATTCTTGGGTACCAAAAAACAACAACAACAACAACAACAAAACTTTAAAAAAATAAATACATAGAGCAAATTGACTTCTAAAAGATTACATTGATTTATAATCTCTTGAAACATGTATATTAAGAAAAAAACTACAACTTTTACTAGTTATAAATGAATACTGTTACTAGTGGGTTAAAAGATGCCTGTAGTGTCTCTCATTTTGTGTTTAAAATGTAACGGAGAATTTATTGCCCATGCTTTTTCTCCAAGAACTGTCACTTATTCCGCAGTTGTGCATTGAACTTCTCTTAAAGGCTCTTCCTACCATTTCACATGTTCAGGAATTCCCTAGAAGTCACTTAAATTCTTGCCCCTTAAAGGCATATACTGTGTTCACATAGATAGATCTCTTATTATCATCTGTCCAGGACTGCAGAGATTTTAGCTGGTGGTGGATTCTTAGAAGAGAACATTATATATAACTTTTGGGCACAACAGTAGGTTTTCAGACACACTCTGCTCATTTGCCAAACAAATCCAGGAATCTCAGCTAAAATATTCATGTTTGAGATTTAAAATCACATGAGGTTCTCAAATTTTTCCTTTTTATCATGAAGTGGAAAGCCCCATTCTGAGACAGCCAACAGCTATGGCCTTCATTTTATAAATATTCAGGGTTTCTAAAAGATGCTGCTTTTTTTCTTTTAAGGAAATCAGCTAAATTTCCCCTTTATTTTTAATATGATGTTTTAAGAGGAAATTGAGAATATCCAAAAAGTAACAGAATTTCTTTGTACTTCTTGTGCCTAGTAACTGTTTTTATTAAAAATCTCAATTATAAATAAACAATAATTTAGGGACAAATGATGTTTGGAACTTTAAAAAAATTAATAATAGCAGTATTAAGTGAATTTTACTATTTGCCCAGTACTTTTACACAAATGTCTCAATCACATAAATGCCACTATTACCACTCCAATTTCAGCATAAAGAATTGACATTAAATCAGTTAGTTATTTTTCATAGGGGCAGTGGCTTGGCTGGAACCAAAATTTAATTTGGACTGAGTCCTTAGCCCTTTTTCTATAAAGGTTTTTCAGATACCCTTTTCTTTGTTCTTGTCCCTACTTTCTACTCTACCTGATACCCACTCCGCATCTTGGGCCTTAGGATTGTGAGTGCTGACCAGCATTCTCTGTCAACCAAGACCTTCCTGCGCTAAATGATCTCCACTGAAATGTCCTGGAACCTTTTTGGTGTTCATGATTTCACCCAAAGCAGTTTGCATTCCATCTTTTGGTGTCGAGTTAGGACTTTTCCCTATATGCCAGCACTTCTTGACAATCAAGCAAAAGAAGGTTTCCTGATTTGCACATGTAGGGCACTCCCACCCACCAAACTGCCATCTTTAGTTTGAGCTGTTGAGAAAGGACAGTACCGCCCCCTAGGGGGAGTTTTGGAAACGTGAAGGGAAGATTTATGCATCTTCACAGGTCTTTGCACAGGGAAAATTTCCCTCCTGATGTGTCCCTTGATGCTACCTGTCAGCAATGCACAGAATGATCAGGCATAGTGAAAAATTATCCCCCCACGATTTTCTAACATCCTCCATAGGTGAAAGACCAATTCGTATATCTAAGCCTAAAAACAGTGTGTGCTATCTAAAATACTTTCACCCACAGTTTTAACGTATACTGAACTTTGCAGGAATGCAACTATTTGTAAACTGAAGGAAAATTGTATTTTGTTTTGTTCTCAATTTGAAATAGTTCACATTCAGAAAATCCTGACGAGTACCTACATAACTGACTTAATTTGCATTTACACTGCTCCTCTTGGACATGTCCCAAGAGCTCTTTCTGCCTTACACCTGGAAGCCAGCAACCAAGCTTTGTTCTGCTTTGCTCCCTGGGCCCTAATATGTGCTTATTCTATGTAACAGGTAATGGAAGGCACAACTCTTGAGCTTTTTCATACTTATTTAATGAAACATAGGAGTTTA